CACACAGATTATCCGCACGCGGACAGGTCACGCTTTTGTGGGGGGCATTACGCATTTGACACGTATTTATTTAAACGCAATCAACAGAAGTAGTACTAATAATAATTCATATTTTAGTGCACTGCTGTGACAAATCTAAGTAAAAGACGATATGAAACAGCAGCGCCACTATTGAACAAAATGATAGACACACTCGTATTTGTTGGTTTTTAAGTCTAAAATCTTAAAACCTTCGGTATCAGAAATGAAACTGTGTTTTTGTTCGTTCAGACTGAAACGAAATGAGTGATCTGGAGCAGGACCACGCGGGATTTCTGACTGAACTTTCACTTCATGAACAGAGGAAAACGCGCCCGTGTCTCTGTGTCTGTGTGCATGTGTCTGTGCAGCTTTTTGCACTGATAATTCGTTTTTAGTTTTGTACATTTTGTAGTACATTGGTTAATATTACCGTATTGTTTCCCAAATCCTAATCTCCCTCTTTATTTGATGACATTTGTTTAGATTTTTGGCAGTCAAACAGCACAGGGCATTTTACTGACACGTGTAATTATAAACAAAAAACAAACAAAAACATCATTTTGAATAAAACGTATCTTAAAAACACATTAAATCTGAACAATATTTACTTCGACTATTTATTATATTTGATGTTTTCAGTTCAAATGCGTGCTAGTTTTAGTTTTATAGGCCTATTTCTGGCTCCGGAGTTCCATTTTTGTGCGTGCGTCCAAACACAAAAACTCGATTTTTCTCAGAGGGATGATGTCCAAGTCACTGTTATGCAAAAGTTCACTTATATCGAAATATGGGTTAATTGGTTCTTCCACATGTTTTCGCTCATTCAAAAACAATTTCCTTTCGGAGACATTGAAAAACAGCAATGTCCAGTCTCAAACAACGTCAGCGTGAAAACCGTTTGACGCACGAGCGTCAGAGCGCCGTGTGAGAGAATGCAGTGTTTGTCCTGTGACAGATCCACCTGCAGCGGACACTCACTGGGTCACGTGTCTTTGGTTTGCCCCTGGAGAGGAGTGCGCGTGGACACGGTGACAGCCGATGCGTCATGACGCACGATGCTCCAGAGATAGCGACTCTCTCTGAATTGAGGCGCGAGACAAGGCTGCAAATCAGGCGTGGAACTCCGACATCTGTGGACGTCATGGAGACGGTCTATGTGATCTAATACAGGAAATGTCATGACAGGCCTAGTACAACTGAACATCACTGCGCTCGAAGCAAAATGAGACTAGAGAAGCTTTATTTGTGCCACAATGAGGACATCCAAGTCCAAATCCACACTATTTCTACAGCATATTTTACAAACAAAGCAATTTCCAAAGTGTTGCATAGATAACCGGAAATTAAGAGAAAAAAAAAAGAAAAGGTAAATTGCTAAAAAGTTGATGGTACCAATCTTAAAACAATAAAACCAGTCAAATCAAATAAAAGCAGTATTCAGAAACAGTTTCACTATTCAGAAGCACAAGGGAAAAATTTACTATTAAAATATTAAAATATTTTAAAAAGTGAATTCCTGTTGCCTTTTGGTGCTCGAATTATAAATGGCAAATGAATCTAATATGCAATACTCGTTATACTGTATATACTATGCTATTTATTACGTGTAGGTATCGATACATTTCAGCGACTGTCCCGGTGACTCCAGTGACTCCCCACACCTTGTAACAAAAAAAAAAAAAAAAAAAAAAAAAAAAAAAAACATGAGAAAAAAAAGAAACATGAGTTTGGTCTCTGTGGGTTAGGTATATATTAGGCCCACTGTTAATTTTTTATTGTGAAATAGAATCTTATTTTTTGACAGAACTTAAGCAGGTACTTTTAATTATGCTGTAGCATTTAGTCAAGATCACGTGTTCAAAACGAAAAGCGATTCCAGGTATGTTTAATTTCTTGCCCAGTTCTATAAATAAATAAGAGTCCACTAAAAGGCTCATTGTAGCAATAAAAACAGATCCATTTTCGCTGTAATAATCACATCATCCGCAGCTGGAGACGCGGGCATTCATTTGGACGCATGACGCAATGTTATTCTAATGGTACCGTGCGTAATGGCGCTAATGCAGCCCTCTCCTGTGATGTGAGGAGTGGATAAACACAAACAGTCGATTATTTTTAAACCAAAGAAACGGAAGAAAGCGTTGACGTGACACGATTATTTGTGTACGCTACTATGTGTGGGAGCTACGGTCCACTATTGAACAATAAATACTCCGGCGAACACCGGCTCCATTAGCCAATAGTGACTAATACTTAAACACACACAAAAACACAGCTAAAATAAATGAAATGACTTTGAATAGGCGAACAGTTCATCTCTAGTTTCTAAAAAAAAATGAGACGTGCTTTGCCACAATCAAAACATGGTAATTGGTTAATAACAGCTTGAAAACATAACTACAAAATCACGTATAATTATTTCTTTCCACTAGCATGATAATTACTCCACTGACCTATAATTACTTATCACGGATGACACCCGAACGTCAACTTTTAGGAATGCACTTTCTCCTATGACTTGCATACACGAATCCGCGTCCACTGTGGCCTGTCCCATTAATCCTCCAGTGTTTTTGTTTTACAGCACAAAATCAGAATTAAAAAAAAAGAAAGAAAGAAAAATAGAAAGAAAAAAACACACATTGAGGGAAAATTGAACAATAATAAAGAACTTTTTTATAAAGAAGATACTTTGTTTTGTGTGTAAATTATATATCACGTTATTAATGATGTTATTCTGAAAAGTAAACCGACTAAAAGAGCAGAGGAGCCTACACCAGTCACACGTGAAAATTTTAAATTGTATTACTATAAATAAAAGGAAAATATCCTAAATAAAAATGCATTTGTAGTGTGATAAATGTGAATAAGTGAAGACACACAGACATGTCCAGCACTGAGAAAAGCTCAAACGGTCTCCGCTCGTTTGAGTTACTGGGAGAGAGAGAGGAGCCGTCGGTACCACGTTTACAGAACTCTGTTTCTGCACCGTTTGTGCTCAGTTATTTCTACCACCAGGATAAACCTATAGCTCCATGACTTAAACACACGCGTAAAACCCTAAAATACGCACCAAATTAACCCACTACAGAAGTCGTTCTAAACGCAATCAAATCAGTTATACATCTCTAATCAGTCACTCTCGTTTTCCAGTTTTCTAGTCATTCAAACGTGTTGATCCAAATGAAAACGTAAATGACTTTGCCTGATGGGAAACGGCCCGAGTTTAGTGTCACCGCCGCTTTTCAGCATTACTCCTAATCACTCAGAAGAACACACGCATGCGTAGCCGTTTAAGTGACGCGTCGTGGCCCCCTTTAAAAATATGACACAAGAGAAAAAAAAGGGTAAACATTTTTCACCCTGACAGAGGGACGAGCGAGAAGAAGCAAAGCTGACCACAAGTTATGAAACAGGTTTGTATCTCGTGTGTTCTCGTACTAGAAACTCTTCTTGTTATTCAATCGTGAATGAAGGTCTGAAATGAAGTTAGTGATAAAAGATGCAGGTATAGGCACATGACCGGTGCATTCTACTAGAGTGAACAGAGAAAGCGAGACAAAGGCTGCACACACACTCCCAAACTGTATTTAATGAATGAAAAAAGTCAAGTCAGCAATTAAAGTTTGAAAATAATGTGTGTAAAATGTGAATATATTACGCATCAACAAAACAAACTGTGCGTAACCACGATCAAACTCAAGTGTTTGATTAGAGTTAAAATTATAATGGTTAATAGGCCATTTCGTTCCAGCTATCGAAATGTACAGGCCTACTTTGGTACGCTTTTGCTCTGGCGTGCACCTAAAACCATTCCACAGTCATAATTACGCGTTAATAAGAAATGGTAAAGTTCATCCACTTAATGTTGACGCTGATGGACAACACGCAAATATGAGGCCGCGGATCGCATCCGTCAAACGCACTGGTTCATGTCCCATTTCACTAATGACGCCGTTTAAAGATGAAGGGGCTGCTGCAGTGGCGCGGAAAGCCTGACACTTCCACTTTGACTGGGAAAACCCGCGGTACCTGCACTTTAAAACGTGAAAATGGTGCGTTTAACGGGCATGTAACAAGTTAGACTAGTGATTTCACTAAAACAGTTAATATAGTTATAACCTTTTTTTTAAACTGAAGTCTTCACAAATTTGTGTTTTGTAATTTTGGTCAAGGTGATCATTTGACTCCTCAGTTAGACACAGGAAGCAGATGCGACGTAAGTAGAGGTGTTTCCATAACTGTTTCTTAGCAACGACAATATTAAAAAGGGCCAGTAATTGTCCAGATGGTTCAACAGTTATGATTAGACTGATACAAAAAAGATAACACATTTATTTGTCAGTTGGAATAGTTCATCTGGAAGAAAGTGCCCCCGTGTGCGTAAATTGTCACTGCTTTCTGGAATTTTCAGCGTTGATGACACAGGCACAGGGGTCAGTGTAGAACTCTACTACTTCCTTCACAAACTGCGACTTAACTGATGTAAAACTACGATACAGATTTACTACAAGTCCCATCCACCAAACAAGTCATCATTTAAAACATGAAAGCCTGTTCTATGCACTTTAAAAATGGAAGGTAGTGTAGATTACTAGAAGAAACTGTACTGAAAGTAGGATTTGTGCATGAACTGGAAGTTAATGAAAAAAAAAACATTTTGAATAAGCTTGTCACACGCATCTCGGCCACTGGATGCGTGTGCGTGAGGTACCCGTGGTGATACGCGTTTTGTCTTTATCTCACGGGTCAGAAAGCAAATTTGGCACATCCAGGTTTCTCTGTCTGTGTAGAAGACACAGAATGAAGAGGAGGAGGGCAGCCTGGATATCTGTCATGTCAAACTTTTACACCAATGGCGCCAAAGAGCTATGAAAACTACGGGTGTGATTGGCTGTAGCGCGGTTAGCCCTGCCTCCCGCTTCCCCAGATTGAAACGTTAAGTCTGTCTCCGCCGCTTCAGACTACACACCGAAAATCTAGTCCCTCTTGTTTCTCCACGCTGCGGAGTTTCCCATTGTGGCGCAGTTTTCCAGTCTGGCGCACTTCCCCAGTCTGGTTAGACGCTGCCCTGGACTTTGGACACACTGGACGCTCAGCAGGACGCACGGAGGAGGCACACAGCGGACATCGCGCTCTTGATTTGCGGCTTTAACACGATGGGTGAGTGCGCGTTTTTGGAACAGGGGTTTTTATGGGACTGGGATGGAGTGAGCGGTAACACGGCGAGGCGCAGCGTTTGGCACAGCTACTTCACTTCGCTATTATAACTCAAGTTTTTAGGTCGTAACGCTGTCGGTCAAAGACACAAGAGCGATACGTTCAACCAGCACAAGCTTCGTTTACGCACGGGATCCGCACGGAGCCGAACAGCTCAAGTGTTAGCGAATTGTCATCTGCACTCGCGTCCAAAACAGGAAACTTAAAGCGAAAAGTGTAGAATCTAGCGAGGCTTTGCCTTTTAATAAACTTTAACACATGACTGTTTAAATATTATAAAAGTGCACGGGCTCTTACGGCTTTAATGCGACACATTAAAAATAAAGTCGTTTCCTATGACTTTGACAGTGCCCATAATGTCCACGCTAACCCCATTATTACTGACAATACAGATCTGATATCATATTTATCTCAGCAGACTGCACGAGCATTCTGTGCAGAGGTCCCGTTTCATTTGACAAATGTTTATATTAATGCTAATAAATGATAGATTTAATTGCCTGAGGCGTGGTTATTTCCCTTTTATAACATGCATAACAAATAAACCAAATCACGGAGGATTCTCTGAGTGGAGTACTTTGGTTGATGGAATAACCAAATTGATTTGAACCCGAGTTTTACGAGCCTATTCGAACTGTCACGCCACATAACAGAAGTATTTCCTGGGCTGGGGCTGGCAGAGCAGGCCTCAGAGCGTGCACGCGCTTGATTCAAAGTGGACTGAGTTCACACTTTTATATATTTTTACACGTCCCGAGTCCAAAACAAGGCCTGCCATACAAAGCACACTTTTATAGGAGGATATTTTCCTTGAATGGAGTTTGTGCAGTGTCTGTTTGACAGCCGTGACGTCCTGAATAACCGTTTCATTGGCATTTTACGTCGCGTTTTCCAGAGTTTGACACAGAAAATTCTATGATGACAAGTTGGAAAGCTGCGGGAAGAAAGTTTTCCTCATGAGAGACTTTGATAGAAGTTTAGTCCAAAATGACGCCACATTGTGTCCCGTATTTCCCGAGGAATCTCTCTTGTGTTTCATCTTTGCTGTTCCGCGGCCAGAGCAGCAGCGCGCTTATGTGACTGTACCTAATGTCGTGCTTTAAACTGTGAGATTTTAAATACACTACACACACTACACACTACACACTACACACACTACACACACTGCACACACTGCACACACAGCAGCACTGGCGCTATAGGCCTTATAGGATTATATCTGGAACTATAGGCCTGTAGTTGTAACACAGGAGTGTGTGTGTGTGTGTGTGTGTGTGTGTGTGTGTGTGTGTGTGTGTGTGTGTGTGTGTGTGTGTGTGTGTGTGTGTGTGTGTGTGTGTGTGTGTGGGTGTGTGTGTGTGTGTGTGTGTGTGAGGAGCGTTCACACACTGCGTGTGTTTGACGTGCGCGCTGTCACCGTGCGCCTCTTTACTGCGCTGGAGAGTGTGGTTGAGCCGATAGCCATCTACTACAGCTAATAACAATTAGGATTATTAAAGGCCTAACACAGTGTTTGTTAAAGGGGCAGTTCATTTTATTCTTAACACTTTGTGAATATTGAATAACACAAAGGCCCGTTTACGCACAGCGTGGCGCATTCACACACACTTTATTCTCACTGAGGGAAATATTAGGCCACAGGCCTCCGCTTTGACTCTCTCCCTGTCTGTTCTCAGAGCCAGCCTTTGGGGAGGTGAATCAGCTCGGCGGGGTGTTTGTGAACGGCAGGCCGCTGCCCAACGCCATCCGGCTGCGCATCGTGGAGCTGGCGCAGCTCGGCATCCGCCCGTGTGACATCAGCCGCCAGCTGCGCGTGTCCCACGGCTGCGTCAGTAAAATCCTCGCGCGGTACAACGAGACGGGCTCCATCCTTCCCGGGGCCATCGGGGGCAGTAAGCCCCGCGTGACCACCCCCACCGTGGTCAAACATATACGGACGTACAAACAGCGGGACCCGGGGATTTTCGCCTGGGAGATCCGGGACCGGCTGCTCGCGGACGGCGTTTGTGACAAGTTCAACCTCCCGTCCGTGAGCTCCATCAGCCGCATCCTGCGCAACAAGATTGGAAACCTGTCCCAGCAGAGTCACTACGAGACGGGGAAGCCCTCTCACCCGCCCCCGCAGCCCGCGCTGCCCTACAACCACTTGTACTCGTACCCCAGCTCCAAAGTGCCCACTCCCCCGGGCATGGCGGCGCTGCCCGGACACATGGCCATGCATCGGATATGGCCCTCGTCGCACTCCGTCACTGACATTCTGGGCATCCGCTCCATCACCGAGCAGCAAAGTAAGCACCTCACGCGCTCCATGGCGCAGGGCCCGGTCCCTCTGTGGACTTACACACACATGAGCAGGTTTTATGGCGCTCCAAAAATAATAGTGCTCAATTCTGGTAAAAGTGTAAAATGCATCAAATGCATCATTTTTAGAATGAAATGTTTATTTTACATTTTAAACAAATTAAGGAATAACTAACACAGACTAAATGCTTACGCCACTGTTAAGAATTATATATATATATATATATATATATATATATATATATATATATATATATATATATATATATATATATATATATATATATATATATTCAAAAGACAATTTAATGTCAGCTACACACACTTACACATACACACACTAAACTAAACTGCAGTTTTATGCTTCAGTGTTTTTTATTTCCTTTATTTGAGTTGAATTTATTTAAAACTACAAAATGAGTCTCATATTTTGAGAGCAATAATCAGTTTGTTTTAGTTGTTAAAGCCTACTCTCTAAATTTAAACATTTACATTTCCAAAGCTACAGAGACCCTGTTCGTACAGTAGTATCATCAGGTGTGTGTGTGTGTGTGTGTGTGTGTGTGTGCCTCACGTGACAGTCTTTAGTCCTGACCCGGCTGATCTAATAGGCCCCAGTAAAGAGTCCATTTGGGACGTGCTTAAGTCAGAGGCCCGCGCGGAGTTAAGTGCCATTTGACCCGCGCCGCTGATAGTGGCGCAGAGGTTAGCGCAGAAACAGATGGCGAGCGGGAGCACGTGGAATTACGCAGCGGATGTTGGGAGACCGTTCTGTACTCTTCTTGTTTCCAAAGCATAGACTTGTGACTCTGGGGGAGCGGTGGAACTGGACGCGCGGGATTTGCTTTCAATATTTAGGCCATTTATCAGGCGCCTTGCGTAACAGTTTAGAGGGAAACGAGCCAAGAAGAACCCCGATGCATAAACACACTACACCCGAAGAAAGTCCAATTTAACTCAACATTCGCCAAAAAGATAAGATTAGAGAACTTTTATTTGTCTCACAGTGGGGAAATTCCAGTGTTGTGTAGTTGTGTTCCAGGTCAAGAACAGCGGGCCAATATAAACACGCAGTGAAAAATCAGATTACAAAGCAGATAAAGCCAGAATGTGCCTGATGAATACAATACTGTAAACACAAACACAGATACACAGGCTCGTGCTTATGTATTCTGTAAAGGAGAAGAAAGAACGGGTATTTAAGGAGACTTCTAAAGATTTCAAATATTAAGTGATAGTTTTGGCCGGAGGTTACAGTGAGTCTGGGGCTTTGTCGATGTGGGGCCAGCAAAGGGAAAGCCGCATTTCACAATAGAGTAAAAATACCTCCGTAGCGTTTGTGCGTAAAAAGCAGATGACTGTGCACACTGTACAGGATTATATTGTAAATGGCTGTGCGTACGCGGGGATCAGAATACATCTCATTTCTCTATCTTTTTGGCATTACGTTTGTTACGTCCCAGATGCGTCACGGATTGGACATTTTAAAGGAAATATGCATACTTTACTTTGACAAACCGGTGGTAAAAATAATCCCCAATTTGACTCTGCATTTGAATATGCGCAATATTTAAAATGGAGTCTCGCGTCTTCACACTGTTACGATGCTGCATTGTGAAAAGAAACTATTTTAACTAGAAATTAGACCGCAGTATTTCAACTACCACCCGTGTATGTTTTGATAGTTTTCTAGAAATATTGGAAATAGCAAAAGAAAAATCAGTAACGATCAATTAACGGCGTCTGCTCCCGTTTGAAATGTCGTTTGAACAGCGCGGATTACGTACAAAGCACTTTGGACGTGTGGTGTGTGTGCCCGTGTCTTCTACAAAAACCCATTTGGAAAAACTAAAACAAACTCATTTGCAGGCATTTATTTTCTATGCAATTATTTCTCGACTCTCAGCAAGTGGAGTTTTCACAGAGTTTGGTGGTTCCGTCAACAAAGGTCGCCAAACGTGTCCATCTCTGCGTCATAGAAAGGAAGACGTGCCGAGCTATACAGTTTTTTTTATTAAACTTTACTCACTATTACTTTTTTTTTTTTTTTTTTTTTTTTTTTTTTTTGTTATTTTACAGAGCTTTTCAAAGAATGTACAACCAAAACATAACCAAAGGCAGGACACACACACACCATATAAATGACATGATATAGCCTTGTGTATAGCTGCAATTGAAACACAAGCGTATACGTGTACGATACTTCTAAATAAATAATCTCTGTAAATACGAGTATATGCCACGTTTGTAGAGGATTGGAGGCAGGAGTTTGCGTGTCAGACTTGTGTATACAGAGGCAGGTGAAGGCCGTGAGGGAGACGTTGGCTCGCCCTGCGCTCTGTTTTGGAAATAGTGTAACAAGAGCCGGTATAAATCTGTGTTAATGGCCGGCTTGGTGTTGTGAGAGGGATTTGGAAGCGCTCGTCAGTCCACTCGGGGCTAATACGACTCCTGTAGCCGTCATGATTCACGGACTGTTCCTAAAAAATACAAAGATGGAGGAGTGGGGAAATGTGCCGCGTTTCTAAACAATTTATGCATAACCAAATGATTAGCAGATGTTTTGTGGCGGTCTTTATTTTCGGGCTTGAAGTAACGCGATAACTCATTTGCACCATCACAGGACCCGGCCTGACTCCTCACGATGATCCCACTAAAATAAATGTACGGATTAATGCAGATTGACAGGGAACACAGGGATGGAAACACGACACACATGCGCATTAGACACGCTTTGGTCATTTTGCGTGAGGTCGCCAAGGAAGAGGAGATGTAGTTTTACGCACGGACTGATTTCAAAATACAAAGAACACTACAACTACAGGCTACTGGCTGATACACCGTGCACACGTACAGCTCTTAAAACAATTTCAAAGTAATATATTATAATTTGCTATGACTCAGTATTAATGGGGAATTGGTGAGCATAAGAAAAGAAAGTGGATAGCACGTGTGAGCCTGCATGGGGGAACAGAGCTTAAAAGGAAACATAAAAAATTGGCAATTTCTTTCCATGTTAGAATAAAGAAAGTTATGTGGCGTATCTAATAAGTCCCAAAATAAATACATAAAAAATAAGCCATAATGAAATTCAAAAATGGTAAATTTGAAGCAATACGGGCAATTTCAGATATTGTTATTGTCTACAAAATAATTCTATTTATGGCCTATTAATACCACAGGGTTAGTGCTTTTGTCTTCACGTTATACTTGTATCAGTCCTATCCAAGCATTTACTTATTATTGTATTAGGGTCATTATGTTCTGGACCAAAAACAGAGTCAAAACAATAACAAGATTAAAGTGTTTGTAAAGGGAGACAGACTTTCTCTTCACTTAAACAAAGCGCAGGGCCTTGATTCAAAATGGATGATTTGTAAAGTTGATCCGGGTCATATTTCAAAACGGCCTACGTGTGTGTGCGTCCCGCGAGTTTCCAGACCCCACAGTCCGTGCGTCACGTGACTGCAGCCCGTGCGTAAAATGACAAATGACCTGTCACGTCGAACGCCGAGCGGCCGCTGCTGAACAAGGCTTTTGTGGTAGATGCATGATCCTATTACCCGCTGAATTCTGATCACTTCTTTTCTGTCTTCTGTCTCTTCTCTCTTTTTATGCCCTCCCAGTTAGCGACAGTCCATCCTTTCCCTGCGCCAAACTAGAAGAATGGAGCGCTATTAACAGGACTAATTTCTCCGCAGCCGCAGCCTGTTCGCCGCTAATCAATGGCGTGGATAAACCGCATTTAGAACCAGAAGCAAAATACGCCCAGGTAAAGAATTAAAGAATATATGATCATTTATTTAATACACTCTGAGAGTTATCTTTACGCACGCCACACAATAGTTCCAGATAAGGCTTATCTTCACCTTGGCTCACAGCACGCTCCATTATTGCGTTTTGGCTCTTGGCAGGGCCTAAAAGGCGAGAGTAATGTCTGTTTTCAGCTTTGCCAGCAGCTCACAAAGCTCATAATGGCTGTGAATGTGCACGTATGCGTGTGTGACTAGGCCCTGATACTGTATTTTCTAACACTTTTTGAACACATTGGAGAGTGATTTTGATGCGTTTGAAATTGGACTGGACTCAAAGCTTAAAGAAATTCTAGAAGAGGTGAAGTGAAAAGCAGCGAGCCAAAATGAAAGGATTACGCAACGCTTTTATTGTTTGAATTGAAAAGGCATTTGAGGATCAAGGCCTATAGAATTCAATAAGTTTCCATTATATCTACATCACTTTGTGACGCTTTTCCAACAAGATGTATAACCCTAAATTCCTCAAATAGAATTGAAGAGATAGACAATATGGGCTTTATCAAAACACGTTTTCTCATTTCATATTTATGGGTTGACTGGGGCAGCTACTGAGGCTATCTACAAAGCTGCTCTGTCAGAGTAACGTCAGAGTAACGTTACCTCTTCAGTATTCATTTTTTATTATTAGGCATTTGTTTTTCTTTTTCTTTTTTCATTCTAAATACAAGTCTTGGCCTATCAGTGTATAAATGAAACCCAGTCTTCCTTCTATTTTTAAATCTGTCTTGGTATAGAATGCTCTCTGCGCATGCGTCTCCCTTGTGCGCTGTTTCTAACTGGACACACTAATTTGTTGATGCATAATTTAGCTCCATGTGTTCATTAGGCGCGCGCTGCTCTGTTCCTGAGACGCTTTTAGCCTATAGTCATTCATTCCACCATAGAAGCACAAGTGAGCCATTTAATACAAGGAATAACTGCCCTATAAATTACATTTACTGTGAAAAAACAAAGGATTAGAGTCGTCTACGCGCCCTATCAAAAAACAAAAAAAAAAAAAAAAAAACGTAAGAAGAATTCCACTTTGTCCCCAAAAACTGTACAACTCCCGTCTTTATTCACATTTACGCACAGCCACCGTAAAAACGAAAAGATGTCACGCAATTACCCCGTTAAACAGGAGCTCAAAACGAGAATAATGGGCCTACAAATGTCAAAATATATGGCGTCTCGAGTTGGAGCGATTTTCTAATTGTTTCTTGGAAGCTGAGAAAACTTTCCGTGTGTTTGTTTACGTTTGGCACAAAATAAAAGCAAGCTATATTCCCGCGCAGGGCCATCTAAGGTGAGTTAATACGGTTTTGGAGACGTCCATACCCCGGGCTAACGATGGAACGTAAAAAATCCCACGTAAAATAGGTTTCATTGAGTTGGATTGAAGCGTAAAGGGCAAGGGCAGGCTCAGAGGCGCTTCAGGAGTCTCCCGAGCATTTCAAAGCTCCACATTTGCTGCTTTCGCTATATTTCAAAACCATATAATTTGAAAACATATTTATTGATTGCTACTACGCTATTGACTTTCACATAACGTACTGATGATGCGTGAGAAAAGCAACCGCGACGGATTTGAACAATTGACTCTAATTATTTGCATTAGATGGTAACGCTTTTTGATTCTATTCATAATTAAATCACGGTTTATGTTTTTTTTTTATATATATGGCCTAACATTACAAAAATATGTGTTTATTAATCTGCATAAACCTACAATACACTTTGCATCGCACACAAAGTTCGAGTCGTTACTACTGAGATTTGCGTGACATTTTACGCAGAAGCTCTTGGGAGATGTATTTTTCCCTCAGGCAGTTTTGTAGTCTTTTCAACCTATGTTTGCTCATACAAAAATTGCGGTGCACAATTAGCATGTATGGCGAAATAACAGGGTGATTGGGGCGTTGTAAATCCGCATAAAGTTGTTGACATTGAGAGGGGCAGGTGTCGGTGCCAGCTGGGATTTCTGGGCTCTTGTTAGCGGTCGTTGCGCGCTGATTTTAATAGAAAGGTGGTTCCTATTTGTGAATAAAAGGACATACTGTAAGTTGTGTGGGAGAGTGGGGCTTTGTTAATGAGAAAGTGTGGGAAAAATGCGCTCATCACGTGCCTTCAAATGGAGCACAAGTGAAGAATTCCAGAGCTTACACGAGGAACGACCTAAACTACATTTCTCAAACCTATTTTCAAATTTCACTTCTGAATCTGAGTTCAACAATTGATAAAAATGTACCAAAACCTTTTGATTGTCGCTTTTGCATAAAGTTGTTCTTCATAAAGTAAATGAAAGATAGTAGTGGGAGTTATTGACAGTAATGTGAATCATTTGGTCATCTGAAAGTTTAGACAAAGATTATTTTATATTTTGATTATAGACCTACTTATATGTTTCCTATTGAAGCTGAGAGCTGAAACCACAACAGATCTCCTGTAATAATAATAAAAGAATAACATAATAATAATAATAATAATAATAATAATAATAATAATAATAATAATAATAATAATGCATAGGCCTAGAGGTGGCTTTGCTTTTATACTAATTCAACAGTAGGCCTGTGTACCAGTCTAAGCTATTTGTACCTGGAATGTACAATATCTTCCATATTTAAAAAAAAATAATACAGAGGGACTTTCTCTGGATTTTTACTAAGATAATACTGATTAATTTAGGTACCTTGAAACCTTTTAGTGATATCTTTATATGAAAAGTGGCACACATTTGTGCCGTTTTGTATTTGTCCAAGAAAATCACTTGAAATCCGATTTATTGTTGCCAATATAATAGTTTTTGGGGAATAATCATAGTAAGAGAAAGTCTGATATTCTCAGTGTAATCTGACAGCGGCTACATGTGGATTTTTGCATTTGTTTTGTGCATTGTGTTGTATTGACAGTGAAAAGCCCAGATATTTGCATAGTAATATTTTTTCGTCAGCAGTAGTCGTACAGTAGACCACCCAGGAGCCGGAGAGGGCCTCCCTGTTGAAAAGCAAATTCCTCAAACCGTGCATTGGAGCTCGTGGCCCTGCGTTCTCCTCCATCACTCTCCCTCTCTGTCCCGCTCTCTCTCCTTTCGCTCTCTCTCTCCATTTCTTTTCAAACTGCATGACATCTGTTTTTGGACCTCCTCTAACCACTAAACCAGTGAAAAAGTCTCCCGGAACATCTGCTGTGTCATCCCGTGATTGACTGCAGTGAGAGGGGTGTGAGCGTGCATAAATGATCAAAATTGGAAATATGTTTTTTATAGAGAGGCTTGTATTCACGTTTGGTCTGCGTGTGACTTTAGTGCTGGAAGTTTGGTCCAATTTTTTCATTATTTTTTCCATTATTTTTTCCATGAGGTGCAGGTATGTCTACCTGCCAAAAATGTGCTTTTCAAAACATACAAAATACACTGGAGTTTTGACTTATAGTGTGTAATATATGACAATGTTATGATCATTGTAATGCTTGTCAAATAGTAGTAGTAGTAGTAGTAGTAGTAGTAGTAGTAGTAGTAGTAGTAGTAGTAGTAGTAAATTTGTAAGGAAATACTTTGACTTTTTTGACTGTAGCACCCTCATATTTTGAAATGGTTTTATTCTGAAATTCTCCAAAATAATTTGAAGTTAAAGCAAATATTTTTGGTGACGTTATATAGACCCATGTAGATCCTACTGACTATGTTTTGGACCCACACACTCCCTGAGCTGTGCATAGAAAACCATTTAGAAAAGCAAAGGTGCTGGTGTTACGATTAGTAACAGAAAAAAATGTAAAACTGAAATTATAAATAATATCCCTTACAATACATGATCATTTTCATTGTGAGTTTTGAAACACGAGCCTTAATGTGAGTTTGCTATGAATAAAAAAAACAACGGTACAACAATATACGGCAGGGAATTGTAGTTTATGTAGTTTCATTTGTTTGGTGGAGTAAAACTGTACAATTAGAATAAAAATGAGGAAAGGTACAGGGATTGGGATTTCTTCTTGATGAATTGAGATTTTGACCTGCTGATGATGAATTTGTTGTACGGCATGTTATGTTTTTTTATCAGTGGATTTCAGCGTGGTGAAAAATTGGCCCCAGTGTCATAACATTTAAATATTCAAGGCAAAAAAAAAATATTTTTTAAAAATCCTCAAAAGCCTATAACTTATAAATAGACCAAAAACTTAAACTACTAATATCTTGTTCTGTTTGCATAGCTTTCTGTAATTGGTTGTTGCGTTTTCAAATTTAACTTTTTGCCATTGGATTGCAATTTTAATGTTATTTACTGAAATACATGTTAAATGCCTGGAATGTTCCATGGTGTGACATTAAGCATTTTTATCTTTTTTGTGCATTACAGGTGTTTCTATCATTTAAAAATACAATCATTCCTTCTGTGAGCAGGGGCGCCTCTCCACAGATCTGACCTGTAATGTAGTGTAGTGCTGTAACCTGCTCGTCTCCCTCGTCGTACGTAGGTTTAATCTATACTGTGGAACATTCTAGACAAAGCAAAGCAATAACATTTCCATGGAGACAAGCAGGTGGTGAACCCTCCACCAGAAATGTTACGCAGTGCACCTTTAACATGTATTTCACTAAATAACATTTATATTTCAACTGACATATCAATATTACAAATGATAGAAAAACACGCAAAGGTTAGTTAAGATTTTAAATCCAATTGTGGAAAAAGTACTCAGTTTTGTAAGTAAATACAAAGACCTGGGCAAAAAATACTCAAGTAAAAGTAAAAGACTAAAGTATTAAAGTTTACCTGTTCAAATGTAGTGATTTAGAATTTTGTTCAACAGAAAAATGTAATATATATATATATATATATATATATATATATATATATATATATATATATATATATATATATATATATATTTATTTTTTATTTTTTTTTTTTTATTTTTTATTTGTATATATATATATATTTGCTCAGATTATGAATATGTTAAAAATAATTTAATAATTTCAGCAGGTCTCAAACTATAATAAAAATACTTTTACTTTTCTGTCCTGTTGAAAAATGTAGTGGAGTAGAAATTACAGATACATGCTCTCAAATGTAGTGAAGTAAAAGTAAAACAATTAGTTAAACTTCTACTGCAACTTCTTACTTAAAATTCACACTGAAGGGATGGGACGAGAACCAAGAGATTATGTCTGCGAGAAGGAGAAAAGATGAGATTTGAACATAATTCCTAATACATACATTTCACAATTCTGTTTCCAATTTTGGCTTCACAATTTTTTTATTTACTTGATTTCATATCTTTGTTTCCATTCTAGTCCTGCTTTTTAGTACAGTTAGAGATATACTGTAACTCCCCAACACAAAAAACTTCACCAGATCATTTTTCTTATGCGTCCACAAACAGTTTAGACTGATGAGATCTTGTGGCACGAGCTTGTACCATCCCCATCAAGTCCAGTACTTAACTACTTTTACTTCATTACGTTCCAGCACTTCCAATTTTGGCTTCACAATTTTTTTATTTACTTGATTTCATATCTTTGTTTCCATTCTAGTCCTGCTTTTTAGTACAGTTAGAGATATACTGTAACTCCCCAACACAAAAAACTTCACCAGATCATTTTTCTTATGCGTCCACAAACAGTTTAGACTGATGAGATCTTGTGGCACGAGCTTGTACCATCCCCATCAAGTCCAGTACTTAACTACTTTTACTTCATTATGTTCCAGCACTGTTTAAATTCTGTTCAGTTTTGGTGTATTTTTTGATAATCTAGTGATCCTGCAGCTAAGCGTTCTGTCTCTCTCTGTTCCAGACGCCGAGTGGTTTGCCCAGCACAGTGAACAGTTATGTCACGGCGGGCAGCATCCCTCCCTACCCCCCTCCCACCCCAATGTCTCCTTACATGGGGTACAGCGGCACCAGCTCGGCCTATGTGAGCGCCCACACATGGCAGGGGCCCAGTGGCAGTGCGCTCTCTCCCCACAACTGTGACCTCACTGCCCCCATCGCCTTCAAGAGCGTGGCCCCCCCTCGGGACCTCCACCCGGCCCCCACCGCCGTACTCTAGAGGACACAAGGGCGCGGCCGGGTTTGCACTAAAGTCAGGTGGTGCGGTTTGGGTTGGCGTGGCATGGTACCGGAGCGGCTACAGTTAGGTATAGGCAAACTGAAGAGGGCCCCAAACTGAAGAGGGTCCCAAAACTTAAAGGGCCCATATTATGTATGACACTGTTGTCTGATCTCTGTTCTAATGTCGTTTCCTCATCACACACACACACACCTGGAGCTGTGTTTTGTTTCATTCACATGTTTAACACACAAATCCTGCACATTTAGATTTAGAGTTCTTTTCTCAAACTGAAAACACTCTGTTCCACCTTGTGATGTCATGTGGTGATACAGAAAGTGCTACACTGCATTTTGAAACTCTGCATGCCTTCACTAGAATCATATGGGAGATTTCAGCCTCGGAATTGCCAATCTCTACTGAACTAAAGGTAAAAGGAGCTGTTCACTTGAAAACTACCATTTCATGACATCACAAGGTGGAGCAGAGTGTTCTCCAGGTCTGTTTTTGAGGAGGGAACAACATTAGAATATGGTTTAAAGCACACAGGAGTCAGTTTTGTGTAATATAGGATCTTTAAAACATACTTTTCTTGTGGTGGCACTTTGAAATTTAAATGGAGAATTTGAGCTTTAAAATGGCGTTCTGCTCCAGATTGAACTTCTCTGCTGTGAGGTTGGTGGAACCATACAAAATAATACAACCCAGTGATGATGGAGACCCCCTTTGGGCTGGGTCTACATCATGTAGTACAGCGTTTGTGATCCCTGCAAAACTACTCATGGAGTTCAGGGGGTGGGACAAAATAATCTAATCTGTGATGGGAATTGAGTTAGAATGAGATAAGAGAAATGTAATTTGTCCCATGAGGAGGACATTTCAGCGCTTCTACCGGAAAATACAGCAGGAAAATGACAAGTATCAAAAATGATGCAAATGTGGGTTCTGTGTGCGCAGGTGTGTGAGTGACAGAGCGGAACAAGTGAAACAATGGATGGAAATGTTATTTGTCCTGAGCAAAAACGTAAATACAGTAATGACTTTTGTCAGTAGTGAGTTCATCTTTAGAGCGAATTCGACTTAAGATGTGTGTAGTGGTTCCATTGCAAAAGAAATGTTATTCTGTGAACTGAACTAAAGTTTGGAAAGACAAAACATGTTTGCACAATGAGACTTTAAGTTGGAAGCTGCAGGTGTACAGGAAAAAAACTTGAATTGAGAGATTTCATTTTGAATCCTCCCTTGAAGTTTATTCAGAGAAATGTAAAGAAAAAATTTATTACACGTTTTCATCATGTCATGTTTTGTATAAAAATCAGGTGTAAGCTTTAAAAACTACCAGTTGGCCATTTTTGGGACATTTGAATAAATAAGATTTGACTTAAGATTTTTGTTAAAACTTGAATAAATCAGACATGGAGTGGAATATAAAAAAAAAAAATCCTTGAGTACGTTTCATTAAAATCTTGTTCAGTACAAGACTGTAAAGTTTGGTGTGTGTAGATGCTACTTTAGGGGCTGATCCTTGTGTCTGTGTGGGGAAATACATTTGGAGAAAACAGCCACTGAAGTTACATTATCCCACATCTAACTGCAATATCACCATGGATGTGAGCTCAGTAAATTAAATATATAATTAAATAACTTTTTTTGTGTGCAGAGTGGAACATCGTGTTGTTTCCACATGAAAGCGTGTGGCTAATAGACCAAACTGACCAAAAAAAAAAAAAGTGTTGCCTGCAGCGTCTCACCTTGAATAATAAATAAACATAAAAGGAGAACAACACAGTAAACTCTACAGACAGCTTCCCACATGTCAAATCTAAAGACTATAGCGCATAAGGAATGATCAGCTATGGCTGCTTTTGTCCATACGTGCCCCTACGTTAACTCACTAAATTCCCTCTTTGTTCACAATGTGCACTTTGTATTCTACTTTTCTGTTTCATTGGACATCACAACATTCTATAGGTCAATATTATTTATTACAGACGGAGGCAGCTCAAATGAACAGAGTTAAAATACAGACTTTTGTTGTAATACTTTGAGTTCTTGAGTTTGGTAAATAATGGAAACTATCAGGTATTATATTTGTGGATTAACCATTTGGATATTTCATGGCAAAATATAATGTAATTAAATGGGAAATCTGGCTCTTGCCCCTCATCTTGGACTATGAAATAATCATATTGAAGAATCTGAAAACTACCTGTATATCCCTCTGTTAGTCATGTCAATCATCGTGCCATTTCAGACAGTGGAATGGGGAACACGCACACGCTAAAATACAAGGTCATTGTTCCATCAAACGTAAAGTGCAATTCTTATTTTCATCATTGACTAGCACTTATTCACAATGTACTGACCTGATCCATGCCATGCCAACCCAGTGCAAACTCACAGGAGATTGTCCCCCGCGGGCTTCCGTACGTCACCTTCAGCTCGTCTTTATGAAGGACTTGGCCGGACCAAACTTGGGACCAAAGGGAAAGCTAAAGGGAGAACTCTTATGAACTGAAGGACAATTCTAAAAACCAAAGACTTTTTATAATTTTTTTTTTTTTTTTTTAAAGCACTTCTGCAAATGTTGATGGCGAAAAATTGGTAATGTGTAATTTCGATTGTGAGAAGTGGGGAAATGCATTACTGTTCCAGGGTGCTTGTGCAGATAATATTAATTTGTGTTTTGTACATTTGTATGCTCATTTTTATGTTTTGCAATGTGGTCCCTCTTCTTTAAAAGCAGTTGTAGCTCGAGATTTTATTTATTAGACCCAAGTACGTTGAATGAAGTGCAATTTGCCTTAAAGACATTATAAAGCTCCATTGACGGACATTTCACTGCAAAAAAATATTGTCTAGAATTGTTAAAATGAGTTTAATTCAGAATATTACTGTTTCAGCACGTTTCTTTTTATTTCAGGTCAAATTATTTTCCACTTTGGTAAGCAAATTGCACTTACACATTGAAATAAAAAATAAATAAATAAATACATTTTAAAAAAGCTGTAATATGTAACATTTCTGCCATTTCTTTGTGTCCATGGAGATGTCGTTGCTTTACCTGGAATCACACACCCATTATGCACTTATGCAGTTACAGGCATTTCATACTGTCAGCGGGCTTGCCTCTCCACAAATTTGACCAGTAATTTGAATCATTTTGATACAGAACTGCAGAACATTCCAGGCAAAGCAACATCTCCATGGAAACAAGCAGGTGATGGGCGTTAAAACATCTTGGAACTAGTCAAAAATGCAACAAATTAATGAAATAATCCATATGATATAAACAATCATGATCCTAATTCTGATTTTGAATCAGGTAATTTTAACAAAGTTTAGACATGATGTTTTTGCAGTGTTTGAAATGAAACAATTGGCAAAGTTCGGAGTGTACCATTCTCGATGTTGCACAGAGAAATTGAATGTATGTTATTAAAAGGTTTGCTTGACACGAGCTCCGCAGAAGTCTGTATTTTCCTTTCCGACAGTAAACTGAAGCTAAAATAATGGTGGTGCCGTAGAGCCTGTTTTACATGAGCAGGAAGCTGATTTTCATAAAGAAATGCAGCGCTGGGACCAGACCTGAGACCTGATGCCACAAGTCACGGCTCACTGAAACAATTCATTAGAAAGCACAATAGGATTTAATGAGGCATTGGTCCGGCCCATACGACCGCGATGAAGCGCACGCCAAAGCTGCTCCATCACGACTCGAAAAACACAACACAGTCAAATCTGTGTTTAAATGGTGGAGGTAACAAGACTCAAGCAACATGCAGTGATTCACAGACTAAACCAAGACTAACAGGACTATAAACCAGGACTAAACCAGGACAAAATCTGGACTAAACCAAGACTAACAGGACTATAAACCAGGACCAGAACTGAACCGAGAATAAACCGAGCCTAAACCAGGATCGAACCAGGACTAGACCAACACTAAACCAGGATTGAACTCAGGCTAAACAACGATTAAACCGTGACTGAACCAGGACTGAACCAAGACTACCAGGACTTTTACTTGGTGAATTATTCAAGATGTGATCTTGGATTGGGTCATTTCTTCTAATGTCAAATACTGTTTATTTATGCATTTATTTGTTGGGGAAAATGCAAACGTCATACTTGGAAAAGAGAGCAAAGCTCAGAGCAAACATCACAGATTTTTTTGACAGATATGAAAAAAAAAATAAAAAATTATACATACATACATACATACATACATATATTTGTGTGTGTGTGTGTGTGTGTAAAAAATCACATGTACGCGTAGCCAAGGCCTTACCCTTTTGATAGAACTCATTTGTATTCTGTGTCTCATTTGTACGCCGTAAAAGTAAAGCATAGATCGCAAACGAGAACAATGTGTGCACTATAATATAAGAAACTGCTTAAAAAAGGTTCTCAAATGCAACTGAAATTCGGCATAAAGACGAGCTGTAGTACATGACCCCAGGGCCGACATGTCAGAGAAGTTTAATTAACGATTTCCAGAATACAAAAATACAGGCTACAATTGGACTATAATTGAAAGATAGACATTTGAAAAAGCTAAAAATAGTATTGGGTCCAGTCTTTTTAAAAATAGTTGCTTCCTGTGAGGTATGGTGACTTCAGACTTAGCTATGCCCCGTGCGCTCGACACCATAAATCCAAAATATGGAGCCTGCGTTGGAAAAAGCTTCTCTTCGGCCTCCTGGGGTGAGGTGGAGTCTCCGGTCAACTACAAATATAGGCCCAAATCAGACACGCTTCGGCCACAGAAAAATCCGTCCGCCCCATTACAAAAGAACAGCACAGTGCACAAATGACAGGTTAGCTAACGCGCTACAGAAATACTACGTTTCCAGGAGGTAATAAATTAGGAGCGAGTGCACGAACGGGCGAGCCGTGGCTAGTCTGGGTGTCGCGTGAGTCTACAAATCATTCAGATAGATTTATACAGACCAGATAAGAGAGGCATTTGTCTTTGATATTAGCATTAGCTGTTAGCACGTGTTAGCGAGGTGCTAGCGTTAGTTATGGCCTTGTGTGCAGAGCATAAATAGTTCCAGTAGTGCTATGACCGAAGGCAAAGAAGAAGTTAGCCGCAGCAGTAGCTTCAATGCACGTTCAAATGCGAGTTAACAAAAGGCAGGCGAGATGACGCTGCCTTATATGAGGTTTAATAGAAAAGTAACGTAATGTAAATATTTCAGTCAGGCATACTGAAAAACAAGACATTAACTCAAAAAAAAAAATTCAGATCAGTAGTTCTAACCAGTAGTTCTAGATGTGCTTAGACAAAATTGCTCTGGAATTGCTAAGAAAACAGTCAAATGTACCTTGAACCAGCGTCAAGTTTATACAGTTCTGGTGTTTTAAGTTAATTGTAAGTTGAGCACAAAATTTACAGCATTTACAGTAGGCTACTGTAAATTTGTCATAAAATGTATGTATTTTGCAGTGACCAAAAGTAAGCCAAAGACAATTCATTTTGTGATGCAAAAGTGTATTTATTCTACCTGTATGCTATGTTTATGTTTACTTCCTTGTCATAGGCCTTCTACTGCCAGTCTTAAGCATCTTTAGTGAAATGTTCAATGTAAAGTAGGTTACCCATGACCCTTATGCATACTGTCATCAAAAAACACAGATTCACCCCAACCATAATGGCCTTTACTATGGCATTAGCTTTTAGCGTGTGTTAGCGTGTGTTAGTTGAAGTCTTAAGTTCGTGTTAGTTTGAGTTAGCATGTGTTAGTTGTAGTCTTTAGCTCATGTTAGCATGTGTTAGTTGTAGTCTTTAGGTTACGATAACATGTGTTATAGTTGTAGTCTTTAGCTTATGTTAGCTTGTGTTAGCGTGTGTTAGTTGTAGTCTTTAGCTCGTGTTAGCGTGTGTTAGTTGTAGGCCGTGCAGTAATAACAGCGTTAGCCTGTGTGTGCGCGACAGTGTCAACAGTCCCCTCTGCGCTCGGCTTGATTTGACTTGGAAAGCACGGCTCCCGCATCCAGTGGTCACGGACCGTTGCATCGGGATGGTAGTGTTCCTGTAGACCACATCTGAGCTAACATCTCTGCTTTCATACACACTGTACTTACAGCCTCTGCAGCCTACTGCACACACTCACAACAAACCAGTAGGCTCATTTGCTTCTGCCTCGGCCTACGCTTAACAATTTTTGCTAATTTCAATTCATAGTGTTTTCATAAAGGTGAAGAAATAGCCTAGTGTAGCAAAACAGTTAAGATTTTGGAAGGTGAAAGGAAAAGTGAAAGGCAAGATGTTAGTGACTTAGCTAACAGAGATAAAAATAAATACAAAATAAAAACAACATTAAACCAGTTGGCTCATTTGCTTGTGACTCACTCAAGCTAAACTTTAACTTTTTGCTAATTTGAACTTGTGTTTTCATAAAGGTGAAGAAACAGCCTTTTGTAGTAAAACGGTGCACATCTGGTAGGTGAAATGAATAGTAGGAGACAAGATGTGGCTTGGTTAATAAAGTTAGCAAAATACATACAAGCTTCAGCTAAGCGAACAACAACATTTACTCCTTGCAAATTTCAGCTTGTAATGTTTTCATAAGGGGGAGGAACAGCTATCTGTAGCAAAATGGTGCAAATTATATATATATATATATATATATATGTGTGTGTGTGTGTGCCTCAGTTTATGCTAAACAAATTTTAGTCACTATAGTCACTTGAAGTCACTATGACCTATTTTCACTCGATTTCTCAGTTTGAATAAGGACAATGCATACAATCAGTGTGTAAGCGTCGACATACAAAGCCTGTGCTGGAGTTAGCACGATAGCTCCACTGAGGCACGTCAAAATCATTAAGTTGGTGAAATGAAGAGCAAAAAGCAAGCCAACAGACTTCGCAAAATTCATACAGAAGAAATGAAACGATTCAAAATAGAATGTAATATTGACTAAATCAGAGCCTATTGCAATGGTTTTTGTACTGCTATTGTTTGAATCACAAACTACTCCTGTACTATGGTGTCTTCAATTA